TCGAAGCAATCAGAAGTACAAAAACCAGGCAGAAGAGGAAAATGATCAGTATAAAAAATCCAGCGGGGAGGACAAAACGTCGAGGAATGATATCGCCAACGTATTCGCTGAGTTCTACGAGCAGCTGTAAAACTCCACACAGATATCGCCGCCACCACCGGCATCGCACGACGACGTGCCACCGTTCTCCATGACAGAGCTCACCAAGGCCATGTACGAGCTGAAGAGCAAGAAAGCACCAGATACCAGTGGAGCTCAAAAAAAACGGTTTTCTTCCTTGTACAACTCCAATCCAATCATACGCTGCACCGCCGGCGGAATGGAAGCAGATGGTAATTCATGTCATACCCAAATCAGGGAACCTACAGCAAGCAAAAAACTACAGGCCGATCTGCACCGTCCCGCTCTTATACAAGCTTTTCAGCCGACTCCCGGGTTCCAAGGTTCCTGGTCGATCTCCTTATCGATCGATCGCACCGTCGATCTCACTACCCACCTCTCCATCAATTTCAATATCGATCTCATTATCGATATCACGATCGATCTCACTATCGATCTCACTATTACACCCAAGAAAACAAAATCAGTGGATGGCTTGAAAATTAGTGATATGGATATTGAAATCGATTGTGAGATCAATGGTGAAATCGATTGTGAAATCGATAGTGAGGACGATAGTAAGGTCGATCGTGAGACCGATTGTGAAGTCGATTCAGTGAAGATCGGGAATGAGATCGATCGTGAATCGCTCGAGCGATCTACAGTGAGATCGATTGTAATATCGATAGTAATATCGATAACGAGATCGATCATGAAATTGATGGGGAGGTGGGTAATGAGATCTATGGTGCGACCGATCGATAAAGAGATCGACCAAGAACCCAGGAACCCGGAAACCCGAGAACCCAGCCGCTTATCGAAATTGGCCCGGCTGGGAACCCAGAACCGGGAACCCAGAAACCCGGCGGCCTACCGAAATCGGCCGCCCATTTTCGCCAACTCTTTCAAGATCCACTAGCACCTCTTCAGTGCAATTGGGGAACAGATCGTACGAGCGATTCACGATCGATCTCATTCTCGATCTCACTGAATCGACTTCACAATCGGTCTCACTCACGATCGACCTTATTATCGTCCTCACTATCGATTACATCATCGATCTCATTATCGATTTCATAATCGACCTAAATATCCATATCACTAATTTTCAAGCCATCCACTGATTGTGATTTTCTCGGGTGTAGTGGTTAGGGCTGCCAGACAAGATGGTTTTTTCTTACACCCGGAGAATACAAAGATAATGCCGAATCTCCTCCGACGGACTGTCGTAACGCAAAGGTCCAAACATGGACGTCAGCGGCACAAACATTTAGATTCTACAATACGCTGGGGCGGTCAAATACCTCGGCCAGTACAGAACGAGGTAAACCACCGTATCAAGGCAGCGTGGGCGACCTTCACAGCTAACCGACAGAAGCTAACAAGCAAACATTATCCACTCAAACACCGACTCCGGCTTTTCCAAAGCACCGTCACTCACACGATGTCGTATGGCTCAGCTGCGTGGACGTTGACAGAGCCTCTCAAGCAACAGCTCCGCAGGACTGAGAAGAGAATACTTCGCATGACTGTGAGTACACCACGGCGGCGTGTGCAACGAGCTCGTCGTATTTCCGGCGCCAGCGCCACTTGTCTCGAAACTCCTACGGCGATTCACTTGAAATCGAATCCAAGCATTAGGTCGGGCGTGTTCCCCACAGGCGGATTTGGAACGAAAAAAATCGTCCCCCGACTATTTTGCGACAATAGTTTAATATTCCTCCTGTACAGGGACACGCCTTACTTAATCCAAGCACGGCCGCTGCAGATCAATCGAGCACAACCGACAACAATGCCACTACCAAGCGACGCCGATAGCAACAGCAACGCGGACAGTGAAAAGACTTGGGTCGATATCATTCGACGGTCGACACATCGTGCAGACCATCTTATACGGCTGCACAACGTCGAGGATTGGGTGATAGAGCAGCGCCAGTTACACTGGAGGCTCGCGGCGCAGGTGGCAGCACACCCCGTGACAAGACGGACTCAAACAAAGAGCGGTGCAGTGGCACCCCAGCCACACGGCAAACAAAGCAGTTTATCGCAACCACGGTGGTCAACATAAAAGGTGGGACGACGAGATCCAGACATTTCTGGGCAAGTATGTGTGTGACGGCACCTTGCCAGGTCACCAACAGAGAGGACATGGCGATATGAACGATTCCACTTGGCTCAAAAGTGCGAAGCAAAAGGCGGCATGGCAAAGCATGGAGATCCAATACGTGAATGCGAAATGAGAGTACGTGCGCCTAGTTTAGCATTTTGTTCACAGGGGCCTACGGCCCGATTCCTCCCGCCCAAACGGGCGCGGCCCTGCGACCAGTGGGGCCGGATGGACGCTCGCTCGCTCGCGTCCTCCTTGTGGCCTCCTCCTCCTCCTCCTTGTGGCCTCCTCCTCCTCCTCCTCCTGCTCCTCCTCCTCCTCCTCCCCATGGGCCCCCTCCCCCCCCCCCAGGGGCGGCCCTGATCGTCTGTCCTGGAGCGCTCGCGTGCCCGCCGCGCGTGCGCGTGCGCGCGCGCGAGTGGGCAAGTGCTCGAGCGGGGACCGACCGCCCCAGAAGCCCTGTAGGCCTGCCACGGCGTGTTCTTAGAACCAAAAGGTGTTCAAGGGACAAGAACAGTGTTCTGAGAACAAAGCACCCGATGCCATGAAACAAGACGGTCTCGGCCAGAGATGCACTAAGAACGTTTCGCGCGAAACACAAGAAAGGTTCTTAGAACCTTCTCTGGTGGGCCCAAAGGCAAGCCAAGACGCTTCGCCACTGCTCGAAAGTGCACCCTCCCGTCCGCTGCCGTTGGCGGTCGCTCCGTCGTCGCCCTTCGCCCTCCACCGCTGGCGCCTGCGCCTCTCGCCTCGTCCCAGGCCACAGGCCAGGAACAGAGAGCAGAACATCCACCCCCACAATAAGCACCCCGACAAGCGAAGCCATTTAGTAAACGCACCCAAAGAAGGAATCAAACAGGGCAGGGCAATTTGGTAAACGCCCAGGGCCGTTTAGTTAACACCAATAATCGGGATCGAGGTGGACATTCCTCCCTTGAGGGAAGGACCCGTGCAGAAGCAACCCTGCGCAAGGGTCTCTCTCACGCCTAGCCAATGGCCCTCATTCTCGCTCCCTCCCCTGCCGTCCCGGCTGCCGTTCTCCGGGGTCCCACCGTCTCCCGTCGCCTGCATTCGCACGCGCCTCGCACTCAGGCCGCTGTCGCACTGTCGCCGCTGCGTCGCAGAGAGTGCGCAGCTGCCGAAGAGCAAAGAAGGGCATCGTGTGCTTGCCCGCGCGAATGCCCGTGTGGGCACGGAGTTCGAGCGTTCTCGGGCCAGCTACTCTGCTTCACGGGGGGACGAATTTGCCTCGAGGGAGGGCCCCATCGTTTCATCCGCCGACTGGACTCTTCGGCGCGTCGGGGAGAAAAACTGTGCGCGCGCGATGGGGTCACGCGCGTGCACATGGGCGAACGGACGCGTTCGCCCGCATCGTACTGCACTTCATTGTATGGCGTTGCATTGCACTGCACTGCACTGCACTGCACCTCGCGTGCATTCTTGCGCACGCAAATGATGGTGCACGCACGTGCGCGTGCATTCGTGTACACATCGCGCATGATAGCAAACATCTCCGTTTGCGCAGATGCGTGGATGAGGAGATGAGCGGGCGCGTGGATATAAATCCGCACGTAGAGATATACGATGTACGCACGCTCATGCGTGTGCACACAGGCGTACGCGTATGCACGCAGCCATGCTCCACAGCGCGACGCAATACGCAAGCCCACACCATGCTCCTACTGATGCTGCGGCCGTGAAACACCTGGATTCCACCAGCCCGTCGCCACGGAATCGCCCAGACAGCGGGTGACAGCATCGTCATCATCAGCATCATCAGCATCATCATCACCACCAGTATCACCACCACCACCACCAACAACATCATCGTAATCAGCATCAGCATCATCATCAGCATCATCAGAATCTTCAGCATCAGCATCATCATCACCATCATCATCAGCACCACCACCACCACCACAATCACCACCATCACCATCATGAGCCAACGTCAGACCTCGTCACACAGCTTGACGAGCAAGACTGGCAAACCTCGTATGCCGTGCAGCGTGCAGCGCCGCCGCACCGCAGCCTGCCACTGCGACCAAGCCTTGCTGTGCATGCTCGCTCGCTCGCTCGCTCATCCTCGTTACGATCATCAGCCTCATCACGATCGCTCGCTCGCTCGCTCGACGATCATCACGCATGCTCGCTCGCCCGCCCATCATCGCTCGCTCGCTCGTCGTCGTCACGATCATCAGCCTCGTCATCAACCTGGCCATCCGCGGCGCTGACGGCCTGCAACTCCCACGAGGGCGATGGCCGCGCCGCAGTCGCTGCCGTCGCCCCCGCCGCAGCGCGGTGCGCGCGCGCGCACCCTCGCCAAGCACGTAACTCGCGCCCCCTCGGGCTTCGGCTTCCAGGTAGGGTCTCAGGGCCGGAAACGACGCAGGCCCGAAACACTCGAATCTTGACGGCCCGCACTGGGCTGGCCAACCCACGGGGCGAAAGCTAAGAGAATACGGCATCAGGAGCCATCGGCATCTCGCGGGGCTCGGCCCCATAGCACGCGAGGTGGTCGAGCACCTCGCGCCCTCATGCTCGCCCTCCTCCTTCTCCTACTAAAACGACGGGAGGACGAAGACAAAATGGGCACGAGCTTTACTCGGGATTTCTGGGAGATGGCAGGTCCAGAGAGAATACACTGAGCACCGCAGCCGCTCCAGCAATCTGGAACGCTCTGGGGGCGCTCGGGAACGCCCTCGAGCGACTCATCTTCTCTTCCAGGGCCCGCATGACGTAATCCTGTGGATCCCAGACCATGAACCGACAGGCAGGAGCGGCGACTGCCAGCCTGGTAGTCCCAGATGCGCACCGTTCTGTCGTCGGAGCCAGACACCAGGTAGGGCTTCTCACCAGTCGGCGCGTACTCTACGCAGTTCACTCCCCGCTGGTGGCCCTGCAGGGTGAAGTGGGCCGTGGAGTTGCCGCCGCTAACTCCCCAGACCTTGGACGAGCAGGAGGAGGCGGAGGAGCCGCGAAGGCACAGGGGAGATGAGGACGACGACGACCACGACGACGACGAGGACGACAAGGAGAGAGAGAGAGAGAGAAAGAGAGGAAGTGCAACAGGAGGAGGACCTTGATCGACCGGTCCAGTGAGCATGACGCGAAGATCGTGGAGTCCTTGGGATTCCAGTGGACCATCATAACGTAGTGCGCGTGGCCCTCGAACACCTGGCGCAAATGTGAAAAGGGAAGACGAGGAGAACCTAGGAGAAGCGCATGGAGCCTCCCTGATGGCTGCTGCTATGATCCTGATTCACCTCTGAAACCTCCGAACTGACTTCGGGTACAACGGGAAGCGCTGTTGCTTGATCCGTTTCATGTAGCTTCTGCACTATTGCTGCGCTAGAAGTCGTTTGCGATTGTTTGCTGTTGTTTCGTACCGATAGCTGCTAACATCATCCTGTCTCACCTCCGAATCATTCAGACATCTTTCGGGCACAACCAGAAGAGCTGCTGCTCGATCCGCATGATAATGCTGCTATCCTCGTGTCGCTTGCGAATAGTTGCTGTCGGGTGGTGCTGCTTGCTACCGCTTGCTGCTGCATGCTGCTGATTGATGTTGCTTGTCGCCGTGTGCTGATGTCGGCTACCGCGCGGGCTTTTCTTGAAGGAGGAGGATGGAGAGGAGAAGGAGGGAGCTGTCGGCTAATGGTGCAGTTCAGGTTGCTACCGCCGCCGACGTTGGCACCGCTGCTGCTAACGCTACTGCTGCTCTGAGTCAGCGAAGGAGGCTTCTCCTTTCCCTTCTTCTCGTCCTTCCTGCGCTTGCCTCGCTCCCTCCCGCCGCCTCCTCCGTCCTCCCCATCCTCCTCCCTCCTTCCTCCTCTTCATCCTTCCTGTCTCTCTTTCATTCGCCTCGGCTCGTGCCGTGGCTAGGATAACCCTCCCCCCTCCATCATCCTCTTTCTGCCCATCCTCCCCCCGTTCCTGTTGTTCTGTCTCCCTCCCTCGTAACCCCCCTTTTCCTTCTCCTCTGCCTCCTCCCCCTCCTAATCCTGTTCCTCCTCCACCTCCTCCCTCCTCCACCTTCTTCGCCTCCCTCCTTCCTCCTCCTCCTCCTCCTCCTCCTCCTCCTCCTCCTCCTCGTCAGCATCATCATCATCGTCATCATCATCATCATCATCACCACCACCACCACCACTACCACCACTAGCACTCATCATCATCATCATCATCATCATCATCATCATCATCATCATCATCATCATCAGCAGCAGCAGCAGCAGCAGCAGCATCATCACCAGCACCATCATCATCAGCATGATCAGCATCATCATCACCGTCATCAGCAGCAGCATCATCATCATCATCATCATCATCATCATCATCATCATCATCATCATCATCATCATCATCATCATCATCATCATCATCACAATCATCATCATGGTCATCATCATCAACATAATGATCAGCACCAGCATCATCATCGTCATCGACAGCATCATCATCATCATCATCATCATCATCATCATCATCATCATCATCATCATCATCACCAGCACCAGCATCAGCATCATAATCATCATCATCGTCATCATCGTCATCGTCGTCATCGTAATCATCATCATCAGAAGCACCAGCGTCATCATCATCAGCAGCAGCATCAGCAGTATCATCAGCACCATCATCAGCAGCATAAGCATCATCATCATCATCATCATCATCATCATCATCATCATCATCATTATCGCCGTCATCACCAGCATCATCATCATCATCATCATCAGCATCATCAGCATGAGCATCGTCAGCAGCATCATCGTCACAATAATCAGCACCATCATCATGATCATCAACAGCACCACCAGCATCAGCAGCAGCAGCGGCAGCATAATTATGATCAGCATCATCAGCAGCAGAATCGTCCTCAGGACCGTCAATTACAACAACAACAACAACAACAACAACAACAACATCATCATCATCATCATCATCATCATCATCAATATTATTATTACCATCATCATCATCATCATCATCATCATCATCATCATCATCATCGTCATCATCATCATCAGCATCATCATCATCATCATAATCAGCATCATCATCATCAGCATCATCATCGTCAGCTCCATCGTCATCAGCACCATCATCAACAGCATCATCATCATCGTCATCAGCAGCATCGTCATCATCATCGCCGACAAGCTAACAATCACCATCAGCGTCATCATCATCATCATCATCACAATCATCATCAGCACCACCATCATCATCATCATCACAGCCAGGATCATCATCATCATCATCATCATCATCATCATCATCATCTGCATCATCAGCATCATCATCAGCATCATCATCAGCATCATCAGCAGCATCAGCATCATCATCATCATCATCATCATCATCATTATCATCATGATCATCATCATCATCATCATCATCATCATCATCATCATCATCATCATTAGCATCACCATGAGAATCACCATCATCATCAGCATCATCAATCATCGTCATCATCAGCATCATCATGAGCATCGTCGTCACCGTCATCAGCACCATCATCAGGATTGTCATTATCATTATCATTATCAGCACCACCAGCATCATCATCATCATCATCATGAACATCGTAATGCGCATCATCATCATCATAATCAACAGCATCATCATCATCGTCACCAGCACCATGGTCATCATCATCATCATCATCGTCATCATCATCGACGTCGTCGTCGTCGTCATCGGCATCAGCATCAGCATCGTCAAATTCATCATCACCGTTAGAATCATCATGATCATCACAATCTTCATCATCAGCAGCAGCATCATCACCATCATCAATCATCATCGTCATCGACATTATCATCATAGTAATAATGAAAATAATAATAATAAGAAGAAGAATCATCATCATCATCATCATCATCATCATCATCATCATCATCATCATCATCATCATCATCATCCTCGTCATCATCATCGTCGTGATCATCATCACAACCACCCTCAGAATCATTGTCATCATCGCCAGCATCGTCATCGTCATCGACATCGACATCAGCATCATCAGTCTCATCATCATCATCATCATCATCGTCGTCGTCGTCGTCATCGTCACCACCATCAATCATCATCACCACCATCATCATCATCATCATCATCATCATCATCATCATCGTCACCATCGTCCTCGTCGTCGTCATCGTCATCGTCATCAGCATCATCATCACCATCATCATCATCGTCATCGTCACCACCATCGATCATCATCATCATCATCAGCATCATCATCATCATCATCATCATCATCGACATCATCATCGTCATGATCATCATCACCACCACCCCCAGCATCATTGTCATCATCGCCAGCATCATCATCAGCAGCACCAGCATCAGCATCATCATCAGCATCGTCATTATCATGATCATCATCATCATCGTCATCAGCATCATCATCGGTATCATCATCACCATAATCAGCATCATCATCATCGTTTTCATCAGAATCGTTAGCATCATCGTAATCATCACCATCATCATCAGCATCAGCATCATCAACAATCATCATCATCACCAATCATCATCATCAACAGCAGCAGCATCATCATCAGCATCATCATAATCATCATCATCATCATCATCATCACCATCATCGTCATCGTCATCGTTGTCATCATCATTCATTTTCCTCCTTCTGTACCTCCCATACCCAGCGCGCGGGGGCGCACATAGGGGTGGAGGAGGAGGAGAAGGGAGGTCTTGTTTATTGAAGTGACGCTTCCGCGACTGCATGCCTCGATGGGAGCTGGGAGAAGGGAGAAGGAAAGAGGAATAAGGGAGCGAGGGAGGTAGCCTCAGGGAGGAGGGGGAAGTGAGGGAGGAGGGGAGGAAGTAGTGTCCCTCCCCTTGAGCTCGACCTCCTCCTCTTCATCATCATCATTCTCCTCGTCCTCCTGGTCCTCCTTCTCGTTGCCCTCCATATCCTAGCCGGCCTGACTGTTGGCCCAGTTCTTGTCCCAGTCCCACAGCTTGATCGACATGTCGTCCGAGCAGGAGAGCAGGTAGGACATCGTAGGGTGGATGGCGATGTACCGGATGTAGTCCGTGTGAGCCTAAACCCACCGATACGGGACGCCCTCAGGGGGGTGCTGCCGAGATTCCCTCGGTTCCGACTTCTAAGGAGAACCGTTATTCTTCCTCCTCGTCCTCGTCCTGCTCCTGCTCCTGCTCCTCATCCTGGTCCTCCTCCTCCTCCTCGTCCTCCTCGTCCTCTTCCTCTTAACATCCCTCCTTTCCAGCTCCGTCGATTGCCGATACAATCACCGGCGACCACGCATCGGCACTCCGTAAGTATATTCCGCTTTGCGGAGGCAACGCAGCCACAAGAATTCAAGCGCGCCTCAATGAAGTCATTCACGGGCCGCGCATTTTCGGGCCCACTGGGCAGGACCCGAAAAGCATTTGTTTGCACACAAGTCCCACACATCTTTCGAACTTTCGGGTCGTCTTGGGGAGCAACCCCGACAGGTTTTCAGAGAGGAAGTCCTGAGCGGTTTGCTCATTTTCGGGTCCGTACACCGCTTGGGTTAGATGGTCAATCGTGGTAGCCTCGTTCAGGGCATTGCAGTCTTCGTTTAGTGCCAATAGTGCGGTTTAGTGGGATTCAGTCCAGGTCCGATCAGGTCAAAATACATGTCATTTCTTGATCCTGCCCCTGTACCTCCCTGTACCTGCCCCTCCTCCTCTTCCTCCTTCTCCTCTTCTTTTTACTGATATGTCCATTCTGGTTTCTGGCGCCCTCCCCTACTCCAAAGGCGGCGGGAGGCAACGGCCGTTTTCTGCCCCCCGAAATGGCAAACGGATCTGTAGCTGAACACATTGCGTTCCGATTCCGCACTAAACTGTATAAACAACATTAAACCACACAAAACGACACTACACGGCACTAAATCGCACTAAACCGCACCAAACGTCACCAAACCGCACTAAACAACACTAAACCGCCCTGGCGTCAACCACACTCGACCGCACGAAACGGCACCAAATGGTCGAAACCGAAGCTGGGACTCGCCAGGGTGCTGAAAACAAGGCTCCCATGATCTGCCAGCTAAGCTCGGGACTTACAAGCTTACATTGGGACATTGGGGACGGGAGGCTGGCTCGTGCCCCAGGGGGGGGGCCTGGGCTGACGCTGTACCCGGCCCCTGCGGCCAAACGGGCTTGGGGTGCCCGACCCTGCCATGGTCCCCATCGCCCCCTCCGCCCTCGCCCCCCGCGCCGCCCCCGTCGGCCGCCTTCGAGCTCGCGCCAGCCCGGATTGCCGCGAGGTGCACCGCGGCAAAATTTGGCAAACTTTCGGATCAGCGCAGAGGGGATCGGAAAATAAGGAGCGAAGGAGCTTCTCTGGCCACGGCGAGCCTCGGCCACGAACAGTTCATCCCGCTGATTCTCCACACGAGGGTCTCGCTTGAGATTTCCTCCAACGTTCTGCACCGATTTGCGAATCTGTACAGCACTGACACTAATGGAAGGCGTTCCGTCTCTGATGCGGGCCTCTCGCACGAGAGTCCTTCGGAGAGTATGCTCGGAGCTGCGAATTGGCGCCGCTCCTGCCCGCATGGAGGGTGCCTCCTTTTCGGGACAGGCGCCTCTCGCTGGGCACCCCCTCGAACTCTGCGATCGCACGTACTGCTTTCAACTCTTCAAGAGTAGAAGGGCTCACCGCAATTATCTTCACAAGCGGGGCTACTGGTCCTCCTCCTCCTCCTCCTCCTCCTCCTCCTCC